AACAGTGTGAGGAACAGTGTGACGAATAGTGCGAGGAACAGTGCGAGACACAGTGTGAGGAACAGTGCGAGGCACAGTGTGAGGTACAGTGAGGAACAGTGTCAGAAACAGTGACAGAAGATAACATACATAAATATATATATATATTTATACACAAACTGGATTCCAAAAAAGTTGGGACACTAAACAAATCGTGAATAAAAACTGAATGCAATGATGTGGAGGTGCCAACATCTAATATTTTATTCAGAATAGAACACAAATCACAGATCAAAAGTTTAAACTGAGAGAATGTATCATTTTAAGGGAAAAATCTGTTGTTTCCAAATTTCATGGCATCAACAAATTCCAAAAAAGTTGGGAAAAGTGTATTTTTACCACTGTGTGGCATCCCCCCTTTTTACAACACTCAAGAGACGTCTGGGGACAGAGGAGACCAGTTTCTCAAGTTTAGAAATAGGAATGCTCTCCCATTCATGTCTAATACAGGCCTCTAACTGTTCAATCGTCTTGGGCCTTCTTTGTCGCACCTTCCTCTTTATGATGCGCCAAATGTTCTCTTTAGGTGAAGAATCTGGACTGCAGGCTGGCCATTTCAGTACCCGGATCCTTCTCCTACGTAGCCATGATGTTGTGATTGCTGCAGAATGTGGTCTGGCATTATCGTGTTGAAAAATGCAGGGTCTTCCCTGAAAGAGATGACGTCTAGATGGGAGTATATGTTGTTCTAGAACCTGAACATAGTTCTCTGCATTAATGGTGCCTTTCCAGACATGCAAGCTGCCCATGCCACAAGCGCTCATGCAACCCCATACCATCAGTGACGCAGGCTTCTGAACGGAGCGTTGATAACAACTTGGGCTATCCTTGTCCTCTCTGGTCCGGATGACATGGCGTCCCAGTGTTTCATAAAGAACTTCAAATCGTGACTCATCTGACCACAGAACTGTCTTCCATTTTGCCACACTCCATTTTAAATGACCCCTGGCCCAGTGCAAACGTCTGAGCTTGTGGACCTTGCTTGGAAAAGGCTTCCTCTTTGCACTGTAGTTTCAGCTGGCAACGGCGGATGGCACGGTGGATTGTGTTCACTGACAATGCTTTCTGGAAGTATTCCTGAGCCCATTCTGTTATTTCCTTGACAGTGGCATTCCTGTTTGAGGTGCAGTGACGTTTAAGGGCACGGAGATCACGAGCATCCAGTAGAGTTTTACGGCCTTGACCCTTACGCACAGCTATTGTTCCAGATTCTCTGAATCTTTTGATGATGTTATGCACGGTTGATGATGATAACTTAAAAGTCTTTGCTATTTTACATTGGGTAACACCATTCTGGAACTATCTTTCGGCGCAACAATGGTGGAATTGGTGATCCTCTTACCATCTTGGCTTCTGTGAGACACTGACACTCTGAGAAGCTCTTTTTATACCCAATCATGTTGTCAACTGACCTAATTAGTGTTAATTGGTCTTCCAGCTGTTCGTTATATGCTCAATTTCCTTTTTCCAGCCACTTATTGCTACTTGTCCCAACTTTTTTGGGATTTGTTGACACTGTGAAATTTTGAATCAACATATTTTTCCTTTAAAATGTTATATTTACTCAGATTAAAATTTTGATCTGTCATCTGTTATATTACGAATAAAATATTGACATTTGCCATCTCCACATCATTGCATTCAGTTTTTATTCACAATTTGTTTAGTGTCCCAACCTTTTTGGAATCCGGTTTGTATATACATACACACATACATATATATATACAGGTCCTTCTCAAAAAATTAGCATATTGTGATAAAGGTTATTATTTTCCATAATGTAATGATAAAAATGAAACTTTCATATATTTCAGATTCATTGCACACCAACTGAAATATTTCAGGTCTTTAATTGTTTTAATATTGATGATTATGGCATACAGCTCATGAAAACCCAAAATGCCTGTCTCAAAAAATTAGCATATCATGAAAAGGTTCTCTAAACAAGCTATTAACCTAACCATCTGAATCAACGATGTAACTCTAAACACCTGCAAAAGATTCCTGAGGCTTTTAAAAACTCCCAGCCTTGTTCATTACTCAAAACCGCAATCATGGGTAAGACTGCCGACCTGACTGCTGTCCAGAAGGCCATCATTGACACCCTCAAGCAAGAGGGTAAGACACAGAAAGAAATTGCTGAACTAATAGGCTGTTCCCAGAGTGCTGTATCAAGGCACCTCAGTGGGAAGTCTGTGGGAAGGGAAAAGTGTGGCAGAAAACGCTGCACAACGAGAAGAGGTGACCGGACCCTGAGGAGGATTGTGGAGAAGGGCCGATTCCAGACCTTGGGGGACCTGCGGAAGCAGTGGACTGAGTCTGGAGTAGAAACATCCAGAGCCACCGTGCACAGGCGTGTGCAGGAAATGGGCTACAGGTGCCGCATTCCCCAGGTCAAGCCACTCTTGAACAAGAGACTGCGTCAGAAGCATCTCGCCTGGGACTGCTGCTGAGTGGTCCAAAGTTATGTTCTCTGATTACAGTAAATTTTGCATTTCCTTTGGAAATCAAGGTCCCAGAGTCTGGAGGAAGAGAGGAGACACAGAATTCACATTGCTTGAGGTCCAGTGTCAAGTTTCCACAGTCACTGGGGTGTCATGTCATCTGCTGGTGTTGGTCCACTGTGTTTAATCAAGGGCAGGGTCAATGCAGCTAGCTATCAGGAGATTTTGGAGCACTTCATGCTTCCATCTGCTGAAAAGCTTTATGGAGATGAAAATTTCATTTTTCAGCACGACCTGGCACCTGCTCACAGTGCCAAAACCACTGGTAAATGGTTTACTGACCATGGTATTACTGTGCTCAATTGGCCTGCCAACTCTCCTGACCTGAACCCCATAGAGAACCTGTGGGATATTGTGAAGAGAAAGTTGAGAGATGCAAGACCCAACACTCTGGATGAGCTTAAGGCCGCTATCGAAGCATCCTGGGCCTCCATAACACCTCAGCAGTGCCACAAGCTGATTGCCTCCATGCCACGCCGCACTGAAGCAGTCATTCATGCAAAAAGATTCCCGACCAAGTATTGAGTGCATAACTGAACATGATTATTTGAAGGTTGGTGTTTTTTGTATTAAAAACACTTGTCTTTCATTGGGGGGATGAAATATGCTAATTTTTTGGGACAGGCATTTTGGGTTTTCATGAGCTGTATGCCATAATCATCAGTATTAAAACAATTAAAGACCTGAAATATTTCAGTTGGTGTGCAATGAATCTGAAATATATGAAAGTTTCATTTTTATCATTACATTATGGAAAATAATGACCTTTATTACAATATGCTAATTTTTTGAGAAAATATATATATATATGTATATATTTATACACCTGTAGCCTGTATATATATATATATATATATATATATATATATATATATATATAAATCCCATATACATTCTTCATTTTGCACCTGAGAAGTAGGCGTGGTCAAAAGTGCTTACAAGTGGCAAAGTGAAACAGGAGGCAGAGAGCTGTGATCATGACATTCTGTACTCTTTTAGAGTGTATAGAGTTTAGAAACATTGTTTAGAATATTGCAAGAGTGTGGGAAGAGTTTATAATGGCTTCATATATAACACGAGGGAACACTGTATAATGATTGTTTTAGGAAAACAGCATTTCCGTTGACAAGGCCTAAAACTACAGCAACATGTTCAAAGTACATGTATGTGCGTGCATGTGTATACAGACACAAACCTGAAACATGTCTGTGTTGATGTCATTTGTGTAGTCCACGATGACAGAGTGGCTCCGAGACAGTGTGTAGGAGATGCTATGCTGGCTTTTGTTGCTAAGAGCCTGTCAATGAAGAAGACATCTTTAGTCACATGGTGAGGAGCTAAAAGCAAGGCCATCAGAAAAATCTATCCAGAGCACAAACTGTTCTACACAGCACTGTAAATCATACTGCCATACATTTAACAGACATGCTGTTTTAGAAAACAATCAATTTAACATTTTAAATCCTAACTTTCAGTGTTAGGTCACACTTCAATCAGGACAATTTTTAATCAGTGTCTTTCATTAATTTTTCATTTTGAACATCCATCTATCCAGCCAGCCATCCATTATCTTCCGCTTATTCTGAAGTTGGGTCGCAGGCACAGCAGCTTGAGCAGGGAGGTCCAGATATCTCTTTCCACAGCCACCTCTTCCAGCTCTTCTGGGAGGACTCCAAGGTGTTCCCAGGCCAACCGAGAGACAGTAACTCCAGCCTGTCCTGGGTCTTCCCCAGGGTCAGACATGCCCGAAGCACCTCCCTAGGGAGGCATCCAGGGAGCATCCTTACCAGATGCTCGAACCACCTCAACTGGCTCCTCTCGATGTGGAGGAACAGCGGTTCTACTCTGAGTCTCTCCAGGATAACTGAACTTTTCACCCTATCTCTAAGGGAGAGTCCAGCTACCCTGCGGAGGAAACTCATTTCAACCGCCTGTATCCACGATCTCATTCTTTCAGTCACTACCCAGAGTTCATGACCATAGGTGAGGGTAGGAACGTAGACTGACCGGTAAACAGAGAGCTTTGTCTTACAGCTCAGCTCTCTCTTCACCCCAACGGACCAGTACAGAGTCCACAATACTGCAGATGCTGCAACAATCCATCTGTCAATCTCACGCTCCATTCTTCCCTCACTCATGAACCAAACCCTAAGATACTTAAACTCCTCCACTTAAGGCAGAACCTCATACTCGACCTAAAGGGAGCAATCCACCCTTTTCCGACTGAGGACCATGGCCTCAGATTTGGAGGTGCTGATTCTCATCCCAGCTGCTTCACACTCGGCTGCAAACTGCTTCAGTGAGAGCTGAAGTTTACGGCATGATGATGCCAATAGGACCACAACATCTGCAAAGAGCAGCGATGGAATCCTGAGGCCTCAGTATGCCTCATTTTCCTTCCACAGACCAAAAACATGCATGTTAGACTGATTGGTAACTCTAAATTGTCCCTAGGTGTGAGTGAGAGAGTGAATGTTTTTTTTGTCTCGTTTGTCTCTATGTGTCCCTGTGATGGACTGGAAACCTGTCCAGGGTGTACCCCGCCTTTTGCACAGTGATAGCTGGACATTGAGCACCAGTGAACCCCATGACCCGAAAAAGAAGAAATGGGTAAAGATAATGGATGATGGATGGAAGTTTCACTGGATGTCCTAAAGACAGCTCATCAACGAATCAGAGCTGTTGAAGCTGCTAAGACTTATTTTTCTTATCTAATGTGGTTTAATACAACAGTCACAGACCTCAGGTTCTTTTTGTTTTTAACTCTGTTATGGATTAAAAAAAGGTTTGTAAGCTCAGTCATCCAGGTAGATAAAAACAAAGAATGACACGTGTAGCCCAGTTTGAACTGTGATATATAGTACAAACTAAGTATTAAACAAAGTTTTAACTCCACCCTCGTTTGTCCCACTCTGGGCCACTTAGCAAGGCCCTTAACCCCCACCATCTACTCCCAAAAACAGGTGTCTCTTGAAAATGAGTTGTCATGACTCAATGAGACTACATGTATAAATAAAAGGTAAATGAAAAAAATAGTTCATAGTGATATCATTTAAGTTTGAAAAACAATGTCTAAGTGATAAAAGTGGAATAAATATGAAAGATAAAAACTCTTGTCATTTAAAAATTTATCATTTTAAAAACAGCTCATATCTGGTCAAGAAAATCTAGTTCAAGCAGACTAAAACAGGTAGTTGTCATTTTTACTACATTCCTTGTATGCTACATATAAGTATGTTTGAGGAGTGTGCAGATGGGTAAATGCCACATGGCAGGTTATAACCTACTCTGAGTTGTGCTAAGTGTCAGTCTTATTCAGTTTTGTTTTGTATTGGATTAAGCATTTTATTTTGTCCAATCAGATGGGAGTGGGCACGATTAATGGTACGCTGCATGAAACGTGGGTCAGTGTGAAAACCAGACAATTCAGAGAGCAGAGCGACGCAAATGTGGGACAATAACAGAGTAAAGCTATCTATTTCAACGGTTAATGCAGAGGTGCCGACTGTAACGGACTTTAAGAAGCATATGAAAGTGGACCAGGAGCTAATCTTTGGACCTTCTGGACGAGTAGAAGTTCCCAATTCAGTTGCTGGGTTTCCACCATAGAGTTTGCTGCCAGGAAGAACCTTGGTGTTCGTGTGACATCACCTGCCTACTTTCCTTACTCAGTGCCATATTAAAGGGATCTCCACATCTACCTGTCCTGATCCAATCTTGAACTCTGAAGGATTTGTGAGTACAAAACTAAACCAACGCTCGTGCTTTTCATTTTATTTGCTCAGTGAGTGAACAAGCTGTTTGTTTTTAGCTCCCACGCACGTAATCATCGATTTAAGCCTGCAACGGGTTATTTTGGGGTTGAATTTTATGTTTGAAAAGCCTTACCTTTATTTTTTGTTATTAAAAAAAACATTGTTCTGTTTTATTTTATGTATGAAGCAGAAAAAAATTCTTAGTGGGTTAAACAAAGTGTAAAGTCATAATTCCCTGCTATATGGAGACACCTCCATTAAATTAAATATAAACACCCAGTAAACTCTTAGTACAGCTATCTTTAAAATAACGTTCCCAGGGCCCCGACCAATGTACTACGTTTCAATCTAACCCACTGGTTAACTCTTTAGCGACGTGGTACAGGTGCTACACGATTGAACCTTTTTTTGTTTTTGTTTCTGTTATGGATCCTTATGGGAGGAGCACTCCGGTCAACCAAACAGTTTCTTTAGATGTTCCTGAATCTAAACTGCAGTCCAGAGGTGACTGGGCTTTTACAGTTGTTGCTTCAGAACAGCGAGACATTTGACGTGATCATTAAAGGCCATTGAGTCTGCTGAGACTTTTATATCTTGGCTCCAGACCCATCTTTTTCACCTGGAGTTTGATTCAGGCAGAGTTTAAGAAACTGCCGATAGTTTTTATGTATTTTATGTTGAACTTGCTTGTGTTTCCTTAATGACACAAGATTCTGTGTGTTTCCTGTTCTTATTGTTGTTTAACATTTTCATTTGACTTAATTTTAAAGCACTTTGGTCTACTTCTGTTGTTTTTATATGCTATATAAATAAATTGTATAAAGATAAATTAGTCTCAAAAAAGCAACTTTTGCCAAATATTTTTAAACTAATTTCTCATCAGCAAACATGCAAATGACCATTACTGTTGTGAGCAATAACTCAGGCACAATTTAAGATTAAATCTAGTAAAAATTCAAGAAAGTAGGTCGTTAAAAAATGTAAAAACTGAACTCCAACCTTTGACACCAGAGGTGTGGAGACATTATGGATGACATCAGGTTTGACCCCGTTGGCTTTAGGTCTCTTGTAAAGAGCAAGGCGGCTTCTCCTACGACCTTTGTCTCCGTTGGCCAGTGACCCATTGTGCCTGTAAAGCATAGGAATAAACCAGTTTCAACTGTAGGAACCTTTTCAATAAAACGGTAATTTTGTGTAGATACATTTTTTTTCTACAGCAGAAATCAAGCTCTAAACAAATTATCCAGGTAAAAACCTATTCATAATATAAATTCAGCTCAAAATGTTTGCTTTTTAGAGTTTCTGCCTCCTTTTCCTTTTGACTGGTGGTAAATAGAACATGATCATGAACATCCGAGGCAGCGTAGTGTCGGATCCTGGCGAGTGGAGGGAGCAATTTTATCCACCACCAGGTACAAGGGTGGAGCCAGGGGGTGGCCAATGGGGGCCTTGGCCTCTGTATATTGATATTTGGCCACCCCATTTAAACTGTTTTTGTAAGCAGAATAAAAACTAGAAAGTTTAGCTCCCTCCCTCCCTGGCTGGTTTACATATATATATATATATATATATATATATATATATATATATATATATA